CCTGTTTTGAGGTCCCTGTGTCCTGTTTTGTGGGCTCTGTGGTTCTGTTTTGAAGTCCCTGTGTCCTGTTTTGAGGTCCCTGTGGCCCTGTTTTTAGGTCCCTGTGTCCTGTTTTGAGGTCTCTGGGGCCTGTTTTGAGGTCCCTGTGTCCTGTTTTGTGGGCTCTGTGGTTCTGTTTTCAGGTCCCTGTGGCCCTGTATTGAGGTCCCTGTTTTGAGGTCCCTGTGGATTTGTTTTGAGGTCTCTGGGTCCTGTTTTGAGGTCCCTCTGGTCCTGTTTTGAGGTCTCTGGGTCCTGTTTTGAGGTCTGTGGATCCTCTTTTGGTCTCTGTGGACCTGTTTCGAGGTCCCTGTGGTCCTCTTTTGATGTCTCTGTTTCCTTTTTGAGGTCCTTGTGGTCCTGTTTTGGGGTACCTGTTTCCCTGTTTTGAGGTCTCTGGGTCCTGTTTTGATGTCTCTGTGGTCTCTGGTGGAGAGGGTTCAGGGTCCTCCCTTGAGCTCCTCACTGGCATCTGCCATGCTACCTCAGCAAGCATAGTGACTCCCATGTCCCAGGACCCAGGAGGGTTGGTGGCAACCCTACAGGCCTTGAGGGGACACTGACATACAGTAGGCACTCAGATGGAGGGGGGTGAGGGAGGCCACCCTACTAGCTGATGGCCTCCTGCTCAGTCAGGCAATGCAGTGTCCTGGCCTAGGGGGCTGCAGTGAGCACAGGGTCACCCAGGACAGCCCCCTCAGAGGTCTCACCAGTGCTGACCTTGCAGGCTGCTCACCCATGACTCCAGCTCTTCCCTGCAGCCTGCCCTCAGCTCCCAGGTCTCTACTTCTTCCGGACCCGCTCCTCCTTCTGCTGCCTTTCCTCCTGCCCTTCCAGGAAGAAATTAGAATCAGTTCCCAAGATGGAGAGTGCCAGGTGGGGTGGTTCCCTTAGGGAGAGCAGTCAGAGGGTGTCCCAGGTAGTGGCATTTGCTGAGATGTTGGTAACATGGGACAAGTTTACCTTGGTCCTAATAGTCTCTACTGCCAAGTGGGATGTGAGCTGTAGGGTTTTCATAGATGCCCTTTTTTTAATGAATAAAAAGGAATTCCTCCTCTATTCCTAGTTTGCTGATGATTTTTGTCAAGAATAGATGTGGGATTTTCTCATACTCTTTCTGTCTCTTTTGGGACAGTCATGTAGTTTTTCGGTTTTAGTCTGTTAATGTGATGAATCCGTTGATTGATAGTCACATGTTGAGCCAACCTTGCATTCCTGGAGTGAGCCACATTTGGTCATAAGAAATCCTTTTAATGTATTGTTGGCTTTGACTTGTTAAAAAAACTTTTAAAGAATTTGTATCTGTTTGTGAGGAATGTTGGCCTATAGCTATCTTTTTTTGGATTGCTCTTTTCTGGTTTGGGTAGCAGGGTAATGCCAAGATGCTAGAACGAGCTGGGGTACCTGCCTATCCCTTCAGTTTTCTTCAAGAGTATTATAGAACTGCCATTCTTTTGGCCTTAAATATTAGATAGAATTTACTAATAAAGCCACCTGGGCCTGGAGTTTTCTTTGGAAGAACATTTTTACTACAGATCCAATTTTTTTCCTAGGTGTGGATCTGCTCAATGATCCACTTCTTCAGACAATAAGCAGAACTTACTTGACACAGGATCATGTGGTCCTCGTTCCCCCACTCCTGACTTTCTCTCAGGTGTGCCGATGACACCTCTGCTTAACACTTCCAGGTGCCCTGTCTCCCTGCTCTTAGCATCAGGCCCTCAGGGACCTGTGCAGCCATCCCAGCCAGTCCCTGGGCCACTGTTGCCATCCCTCATCCCTGCAGCATCTTCTGGCCTGACAGAGGACCTGCTTCAAAATAACTCCGTTCTCCCATTCTGGCCTCTATTTGCTCCTTTGAGCCATTACCCCTCCCCTCATGATGTGATGGCCCTCCCTGTCCCTTCTATACCAGGCCACCAGCACAGTCCCACATGTGAGTTTCTGGGGAGCTTTACTGGCTGCCTTTGAGGAGAGGTTCCTTGGTCACCACTGCTCACCAGCACATCTGACTGCAGCCCCCAGGCTCTCTGCACGGCCTGTCCTCAGGGTCCACAGACACCCCGTGTTCTGTGGCACCATGTCTCCAGGAACCTGGATGTTGAACAGATGCCCTGTGTCAGGTCCAGGAGAAAGGGAGGCACCACGGGCTGGAGGGCAGCAGGACCTCAGAGGACATCTTGAGCGCTGGGGACATGGAGATCAGGTCCAGGTTCTCACGTTCCCCCCCACAGTCCTGAGGAGCCTCACCTGCCTGCTGTGCCTCACCCAGTGCAACCCCAGGGCAGGCTGGTACTGGTCCAGCCCCAGCACTGAGGGCCTGGACGTGGCGACCCCTCAGGCTGGTCCACATCTTCAGGTAGCCATGTGGCCTCTGGGTGTGGGGAGCCTGTGGTGCTGCAGGGCAGCTCCGGGAGAACTGGACTGGGCAGAGTGCAGCTTGCTGTGCTGTCCTCGCAGTGCCGCCAGCTGTCTGCACTCCCTGTGGGTCCCCAGAGAAGGCTGAGCCCCTGGCTCTGTCCTCACGATGCTCAGTGGGCGCATAGTAGGCTCTCTGTCTCGGTCCATGTGAACAAAGACCATTTCCTGCTCATGACCTGCTCTCTGGACATCTGTGGTCAAGGGGTAGAGGCCAGGGGGTTTGCCCTGGAGTGGAGCACAGTGGTCAGGGTTGGCCCTTCTTCAAGGAACCAAGATGAGGAGGGGGCTTCCTTCTGAGCAGAAGCCACTGGGGGGAGAGTGAGGAAGACCGCCCTGCCACATGAGGCCTCCTGCTCCTGGTGGCTCTGGGCAGCAGCCCATGGGACCAGGAAATCCTAGTCTGAATGGCCACTTCTCTCAAGCAGACCCTTTCCTCCCATCTTTGCTGAGGCAAGGCAAGAGGAAACGGGTTTAAACCCCTGTGGAGCAGGGAGACCAGGACGCACCCTCAGACAAGTGCCCCTGCTGCTTTGAGGTTCCCTGCCACAGGGGCTACCGTTGAAAGGCGCTTTTTAAAAAATATTTTTATTTGTAGGCGGACACAGTACCTTTATTTTATTTTTATGTGGTGCTGAGGATCGAACCCCGAGCCCCACCGTGCTAGGTGAGCGCTCTACTGCTGAGCCCCAGCCCCAGCCCCCATTGAGAGGCTTTTAAAAGCAGCAGAAGCTCAGAGAGAGTCAGGAAAGCATGAACGGGGTGGGCAGAGGGGACTTCTGCCCATGCGTAGCAGTGCATGTGTGTGCGTGTATGTGTGTGTGCATTTGCACGTGTACAAGCCTGTGTGCCCACAAGTCTGTGTGTGTGTGCATACATGTGTGTGCTTCTGCATATCTGCTTTTCTGAATTTTAGAAAGCCACCCTGCAAGGTGGTCAGGAGGTGATGCTGGGAGATCAGGTTCTGACACCATAACAGGGGCACCCTGTGGGTGCTGGGGTGGAGCCCAGGACCTCACACATGCTAGGCAAGCACTGTACCGCCGAGCCCCCTTCCTGCCCACAGTGGGAGCTTTTCAAGAGCTGAGCAAGTGCCAGCCTGGGTCTGGCTGTTTCCCTAGCACAGCGCCTTGGCCACACAGGGCTGAGCCCAGAGGATCCAGACCTCAGCCCCTTGCTCCCCATAGCTCCCTGCTCCCCACAGCCCCCTGGCTGGGGGGTAGCTTTGTGCC